GGTGGGGGGTGGGGGCGTTGTGGCTGGGAAGGTGCTTCCTTTGACGTTGGCGGTGCCGAACAGAATCAGCCATGAACAGACTCGGTCAGAACAAAAGCAGAGATTCCCTGAGGGAGAAGGCAGGCACCATGCTGGTTGCTATGGCAACCACACCTCTGCGAGGAGCCCAAGCCACTTGCTGGACAAATAGGAGCCTCTTCATTTTAAATTAGTTTTTTTCTCTCATAGAATTTTATACTTTCCAATGTATTTTTCAAGAAAATAAGCCCAAAGAATAATAGTCCTGGCCTGGGGGTCAGTGGGTGTGTCCCTCCTTGCTTGAGCTCGCAGCGCCTCTCAGGCCCACAGCTGTGGTCTGGCCTGTGGTCAGCAAACCCAGGGTCTCCATCCGTGAGCAGTGCCGGCCCGGCCGCTGCACCTGTCCTGCGGCTACGGGCCTCTCCGTGCAAACGCCCTGCCACCTCCAGGCCCTGGGCGCTCGCCAGGCCCACCGGCTCTCCTGCTCCCAGTGCTGGGGCTGCCTGGCTGCTGAGGCGAGTGCGGCCCCAGGACCCCAGCCGCCAGAACCTGTGACCCCTCAGCCCCGGACCTTCTCCTTGAAGCCCTTCTTTCCTGGCTGATCCCGGGCCTGTCTCCTGCAAGGCCATGTGCAGCCCAAGGTTAGACGGACACACGGACAGGTAAGGAGACACACAGCGAGCCCGATGTGCCAGTCGACCATGACCCACCGCTTCGGACCCAGGCAGCGTTCCCTGTGACCCACAGAGCAAAGTCCAGCATCACAGGAACTAAGTCACTCAAGTCTTTCACTTGTGTTTTCTACTCACACGAGGCCACTGTCTGTGGGAGACTCGCTGTCTCCTGTGCCATCTGCTAACTCCCCCCCCCCCCAGGGAGGCCCCCATCCCCCTCATGCCGGGCCTCCCCACAAGCCTGGAGTGACCCGCCGGCTCTGGAGGAGGGGAAGACGGTGGGACGGCGCCCCTCTTGAGGAGGTGGGCAGCCTGAGCGCCCAGGAGCGCCAGCCACGCCTCCTGTGTGCGTCTGACAGACGTGCAGAGACTGTGCCGGACACGTCTCGGCCTCTGCAGAGCTGAGAACAGGTGGAGCCAAGGTTTTCGCTGCAGGTTGGTTCCCTGGGGGAACTTGCTCTGTCAAATTTGCAGCGCTGTCCTGGCTGGGGCCCAGTGGTTAGAGGTCGGCTGCACACTGAAGGCTCACAGGTTTCATTTCTGGTCAAGGGCATGCACCTGGGTTGCAGGCTGATCCAGTCTGGGTTGTGGTGTATGGCAATGTGTCTCTCACACCGCTGTTTCACTCTCTTTCTCTCTCCCTCCTTTCCACATTCTCTAAAAATCAATGGAAGCCCAACCAGTGTGGCTCAGTGGTTGAGCATTGACCTATGAACCAGGAGGTCACAGTTAGATTCCTGGTCAGGGCACATGTAGGGGTTTCAGGCTCCATCTCCAGTGGGGGGCATGCAGGAGGCAGCCAATCAGTGATTCTCTCTCATCATTGATGTTTCTCCCTCTTCCTTCCTCTCTGAAATCAATAAAAATATACTTCAAAAAAAGTCAATAGAAAAAAATATCCTTGTGTGAGGATTAACCACCACAACAAAACCCCTGCAGAATTGTGAGCCACTCTGTGAGGGGACTCCTGTGTGTGACAGTTTTTACTAGTATATCTGAGAGGATTGGAATTATGTTATTTGAAAATCACCAACCTTGCATATTTTAGATACACAATTGTAATGATTTAAACCATGAAAGCCTGAGTTTTTGTGCTATTTCTTAGATTCAATCAGCACAACTTGTGAGAAACCCTAACCTCAAAAGGAGAGCTTGGCCTAGTCAGTCTCCACTATTCTGACCACGTCACCATAGTTTATTTCCTGGTTGTTTCTCCGGTTCCAGGTGTTGGACGTCAGCTCAGAAAAGATCCCAACAATGGCTTGGTGCTCCTGCTGTGCCTGCTGCGCGAGCTGCGCTGTTTTCCATGCGGGAGGCGCTGCCTCCCCTCCCCCACCCCACTGTCCTTGCTGAACCTTTTGAGAAGATAAAGGAAGCGAGAGCCTTTTTCTTTCCATCTTCCCAAGGACACTTCCATATAAAAGGCGCCCTTCAATCCTTTGTTTATGTCCACCAGTGAAGCATGCCGGCGGGGGGCCATGCGAGGGGCGCACGTCCGCAGCCTCTCTGAGGCTGCGGTCCCGTTTCCCAGGAAGAGAACCTGCAGCAGGTGGGG